TCTTATAAGATTCCACAAACGAAACATAGACATTTACTACGTCTTCTACTGATAATGATTTTGGTGTTTGGTACGTAAAACAATTTATAGATTTCAACATAACTGGAGGTGGAAATGCTTCTCTAAGAATGTCTTTTATGTTTTTTCCATTATCATATAAGTCTCCATATTGTACTAAAGGTGGTCCCTCTGGTGGGCAGACATGCAAAACAAGGAGTTTTCCTGCTAGTACTTGTTTAAAATATTCTTTCATTACACCTGTAACATTTAATTCGTGTACACCGCTTAATGTGAACCGAATAGAGAGCACTCTAGGATTAATAAAGTGAGGTGGTAACTTGAAAATATCTGTGTATGGTAACACCTCCGTGTGACCAAAATCGACATAGTAAAGTTTACACTTATTTTCCATAACACACATTACAACAGCTCTGCATAACACCTTATCTCGCGTATAACGACCTAGACATACTGATCCAGGTAATGGAGGTTCTTGTAATGGCTCTAGAGGATGACTGTTAATATCTCTCATGAGTACGCGCAATACCTGAGTGGTACTTTGAAGTTGCACAGAAAACTTATATGGACCATCTTCTACAAATGAAACATATACATCATGCTTTGATGACACATCCAAAATGCGAGATTTAAATACAAGAGCTTCTTGAACAGAGGCGTGCATCGTATGTTTTAGCTGAGCTGCACAGCATGAACAACCATTTTGTTGAAATTCTTGAACTTCATTTTCAGCAGAATGTAATGAACTCAGATTTTTTTCATATAATAGCAATTCAGGGTCTGTTATACCTCTTGAACTAGAAAGATATATAAAAGTTTTAATAAGAATAATGTCTCTAAATTCTTCCAAATTTTCAGCAACATTTTATTAAGCATAATTAAATATAATTCAATAAATAATATGAAAGTCAATATTTTAAACTTATAATTGATAATAAAATACAAAATTATGAGTGACATAAACATAAGATTGTAAATAATAATTACAAAAGCAATATGATATAGAAATATTTATTTTATAGATATCAAAATAAAATAAATACCTATACATTTCTAGCAATGTTGCTTTTTTTGCTATGTATCTCCTGATTAAGAATTCAGTGAAATCCTCATCATTGTACACAAGTTTAATAAAATTATCGCTATTGGTTATAGTATGAATCACAATTTTATATTCATTGTACCGTAGAGTCTTCTGAATTGACTCAATTACTTCGTTAGACCAATGACCATTTACAGGTAATAAATGCATTAATGTAAATTGAAACGCCACAGGTGGAAAAGATTGTAAAGATTCAGAACCAGGTATATCATCAAGTAAATGTATTTCTTGTATTGGAAGCAATTCAAGATTACCATAATCGATGAAATGCAAAAGCACAGTATTATCAATATTATTTATATGCTTTATTCTTGCTCGATAATATCCATCATTTTGAAATTTAGCACAACAAAGAGCATTTATGCGCAAACTGGTTGACTGAGTTTTAACACAGTTTTGACGTCTAGTAAATTGTTCAACAAGGGGTAAAATCATACGTTCTACACATGTTGCAGAATTTTTATCAATTTGACCCCATATTCTGAGGAATGTATGGCATGGTTCAATATGAGTCACAAAAATAATCAACTCTGAATTTTGTTTTATGCTCATTGTGTTATATAATTTTTTGTATAATAAAAATTTGTATTTTCTTATATATTTTTTTAATTTTTATTTCATTAAATAGGTGAACTTGTGTAATCTGAAATACAAAACTATTGTTAGATACCTCAAAAGTAATTCTCAAAAAGTAGTACTCAATCCTCGACGTTATCGGAAAGTAGGCCACCTCAGCCGCGACTTATCAAATAATGAGATCGGAGGATCATGCGATCATAACTATTTCTATTTTTATATACCTTTCCTAACGGCATTACTTCTTATGTATATAATTTTAAAAGTTACCGATATAAACAATTTTTTTTATTTTTACCATATTGTATCAAAAGGTATCACGTAACCGTTTCATATTCTATTAAATTATTTGACTCCTTACTCATTTGAATGTAGTATAATACAAATTTACATAAAACTTCTTCTCACATATGTTACTACTTGTTCTACTTGTAATATTAAATATGTAGATCACATTCATCAATTGTAAATGTACATACACCTAAACCGATATTCTTTATATGATACTGCGTATAAAAAAAGGTGTATCAATATTACAACTAAATGTAAAGCTACATGTAATACAAACCTCACAATTAGGGTATCAAAGACGTTTTTTTTAAATTCATTTCATTAGAAATTAAATAATCACTAGCTTTTTCGTAAAATTGTTCTTTCACATACATCAGAATGTGGCGGTTGACCGGCTTCTTGTTACGCCCACGGAAGTGTTCTTGAACATTATTTTGAAATGATTAGATGGCGCGAAAATTTAAATTATATGCCGTTTTAGATACGTTCTCTACATTTAATTTTGTCAAAAAAGATATAAATGAATTTTAATTTAATATTCTTTTCAAATATGCATAATAACATATACTAAATATATTAGTATAATTGTGAAAGTAGTAATTTTTATTTGTAAAATTCCTTTTTATTACATTTTCAAATAAAATATTACGGTGAAATATTAATTGTTCATGAAAAATATGTTTTGTTAATATTATCATATATGTGTGTTACTAGAAATAAATATGACAACTATGTAATATACATACATATATATTTATATATGCATATATACTTATCTATATGCTACTATACATATATTTATATATATACATATATATAAAAGCATATATTTTTAATTCTTAAGAACCATTACAATACATGTTTTTAAAAATTATTTTTACAAAATTGCATTACATAATTTTTTTATAAAATATACTCCATTAAAAACTAAAACCTTCCATAATTTAAATAATTTTGCAAGGCTATCAAAATATTTTCTTTAAGTAACATTATTGTAATCACATCAGATAAGGAAAATTCTCCTGTCTCTATCAGAACTATATTTGTATATAATTTGCACATGATTTTAGTCAAGTTTCAAAGCTTTTTTGGCAATCTCATTAAAAGTATATAAAATGTATTTAATCCCTAAATAGAATATCTATATGTTGTGTAGGAATTTAATCAAACTGATATTAATTCAAATGTTAATTCGAATATAAGTACATGTAATTGGTATCATGATACTATACTATATCATAATACTGACATAATAAATATGAAGTGTACGATAGTAAATAATGTTAAAAGATCGATAGAAAATTATATTTTACAAATTTAAATAGGGTATTTAGAATGCCTAATATCAGCTAATATTAAAGAATACAGATCTTACTCTTATCTTTTTAAGATCTGTAAAAAAGTTTTCGGTTGTCGCAAAGTCTCGACACAATTTATGTACTTCAGAAGAATGACTTGTTTATATGTATCTGAACATGCTGAAATGCATGTACGCGAAATTACTTATATTAGTCGTTTCAGCAGTTCTGGCAATCTATTCCTCCTGTGACGAGACCGAGTTGCACTGCGACGCAAGCCCACTAGATGTTGATGCGACATTATAACAAAGAAAAGTAGTTAGAAAATTCATTTAATTTTTTATTTTTTAAAAAAGAACGAGTGAAACAGAGTTAAAATATCACGATTTCGGACACTTGCATTACATCATATTTACGGTCCGTCACGAAAATCATAATAAATTATCAATCATTCAAATCAGTGTTAAACAAGAACGGAAATAAACTCTTGAATCACTCGTTACGACTTACAGCTTCAAAGTTATAATTAAGTTCCTGATTATCAAATTATTGTAAGTAGTGGGATATGAAAATTTTCTCAACTGTTTTTTTAATACTACATACTGCGTTTGAAAATATTAAATTTGAATGAAATCTAATACTAAAATAATTAGTGATTTACATCTATGATGAAAGAGGAACTTAATGTTATATGAAATTTGATGCACAGCAGCATGGTTTTAGTCTAGAAAGAATGAATCTGTCTTATTTTATTTAAAAAGAAGTAAGAATTTGAAGCATAATATTATCAGAAAAGTAGTAATATATTTAGTAATTCGGTAAATATAACAAAAAAATAAAAGAATAAAAGTACAAGAAAGTACCTAACATATGCTCTATTTTTATTTTTATCATGAAAAATCGAAGATTCTTATATAATATATCTAAAATTAATTATTTATTTCATATTATACATATCTTTTTTTTAATTAATAGATTATTATATATTTTTAATTTTCGCTGTTTATAATATTTGTAAAAATATTCAAATAAAAGTTTGCATAATTATTTTAGTATTTATAATTTCCTTTTACATCTAATTTTTAAATACTGGAGGTGTAAAAACTATTCGGTAAAAAATATTTTTATATTACTAGAATCGATAGTATTATCACCATTATAGTAAAATTATCTACAATGCACGAGAAACGCTATGATTTTTTAACAAATGTCTAGTTTATTTTTAACGATAATATTAACAAGTTGAATGAAAATCATGTTATTTTTCGATGTGCATCAATTTAAAAGATTAATATAAGAAATGCTGATAACAAATGCAAAAAAGATGGCAGTGCGCTAATTATATCGAACGTATAAATAAGAAAATATTGCTAAATTTCAGAATATATTAATATTTTATGTGCAAAAACAGTAGATTATTGTTATTTTTTAAGATACAAAAAAATTTTAAATATTCTTAATTACTCTCAATAACCTAAAGTTACGACATAACATAATTTACAATAATTATGAAAATTACATAAACATGAATTAAGTAGAATCAACATTAAAGTACAGGAACATGGAATGATATTTCTTTCCTGGAGAACATTTTTTAAGGAGATGGTAAAAAGTGTAAAATTACTAATATATGCATTTATAAAGCCTGAACATTCGTAATATGCAAAAGAATATTTAAAATTCACCCACTGAATATTTAGTTGTGAAAGACTTAATTGTACTTAATTGTTTTGTTTTTAATAAGCATCACAGAGCAATGTACAGATTGCATGTCAGTACATCACATATATAAATGTTCTGCATCTTTGAACATGTACATGAGTTTATTATACTATATTTTTCATTTAATAGGATGCACATTTATTTCAATAAATTAAACTTTTTAAAAATGATCTTCATTTGATGAATAGGAAATATTAGATGTTTGTAGTCATTATAATGTAGGATGAGTGGAAGGTGATTCACTTCCTTCATCTTCCTCTAATTCATCATCTGTATCTGAAGATAAATGTTCTCTCAGAACTAAGGAACGCATTTGTTCTAATACCTGATGTAAAGAGTCTCTTTGTTCCATTCTGTCATTTAGAGGTGTAGCATCACCACTTGCTGTTCCACCAGCTGGTGTTTGTGGTGTATTACTTGGAGGTACTGGAGTATTTGTACCATCTCCGGTGCCTTTAAACAAAAAGTTACATTACCCATATATATAATGCTAATAATCATTCCAAAGCTCTCACAAGTACGATTAAAACTTCAACAAACAACTGGTTTTAGTAATTATTATACCCATATCATCACTTGCAGGACTAGCTGGTCTTTCTGCTCCCCTTACTTCTCTAGTGATTTCTTCATCTTGATTAATTAATCTTAAACCTGCTACTCCTTTTTTTGGTACATTATATAAATCACGTTTAATTTTTCTTCGCCTAGAAGGATCATTTCTACGTAATTGGAGCATTGAACCAAAATCAGCAATATAAAGAAATCCTGCGATCAATAATTCACAATTCCGTTTGCCTTGTTTATATGCAGTTTCTAATTCATGACTTGTACGTTGATCATATTGCCACCAACCTGTAACAATGTAATTCAAAATTACACAAGTTATGTTGTCCATAGAATCAAAATCAGAGTTAGAGTCAGAGTCAGGGTGAGTGTGAGAATCAGAATCAGAATCAGAATCAGAGTCAGAGTCAGAATCGAAGTCAGTATCGGAATCAGTATCGGAATCAGAATCAGAATCGGAATCCGAATCGGAATCGGAATCGGAATCAGAATCGGAATCGGAATTGGAATCGGAATCGGAATCGGAATCGGAATCGGAATCGGAGTCAGAATTGGAATCAGTATCGGAATCAGTATCGGAATCAGTATCGGAATCAGTATCGGATTCGGATTCGGAATCGGAATCGGAATCGGAATCGGAATCGGAATCGGAATCAAAATCATAATCATAATCATAATCATAATCATAATCAGAATGATTACATTAACAAATGTTGTGTTTCAGCTGGGGAATTTACAAAGAAAAATAACTTGTATTCTGGAATACAGAAGTTTTATTACAAATATACATGGAAACTAAATTGTAATCCTTTTATAACAAAATAATGAAAATCCTTATACTTTTTACATCATACAATATTTTACATGAAAATTTATAACAGGTATATTGTGCATAATACTATAGATAGTTCTATGAATGGTTATATAAGGTATAAATACAATCAAAAACATTTTATGCCAATAATATTTAAAAAGATATAAAAGATGCAATTACAATTTATTTTATTCCTGAAACACCCTTGCAAGGTGCATCTTTTCTATCACGCTTAATATTACGTTTATAATATGGTTGATATTTTCTGTACTGACAATTGTTTTTAAAGTCAATTATATAAAGCATGCCACAAATTAAAATTTCACATTGGGTGCTACCTAGGTTGTAAATAGCTTCCAAATCCTGGCTAGTCCTTGAATCATATTTCCACCAACCTATGAAGGGGTATGATATAAACTCCTCTATACTTCATCACATGTTTTTAACAAATAATGAAGTTATTTACTTTTTACCTTTAATGTTCTAGTAACATTGATTTTATTTGTAATTTGAAGTATATTATCTTAATAATTTACTTCTTTAACTCATGTTTTTATATCTTTGTGCATAACATTTATGACATACGTATATGTATATTTGTGTAGATATATTTATATTTAATAAATTATATTTATAAGAATTATCTTATCTGTAGCTAAAAAATAAAATAAATTTGTGTAATAAAAGATACTGTACCATTTCTACCTTCGTAAAACCATTGGTATTCTTCTTCAAAATGTTCTGATTCCTTCCGTGCTTCATCTACTTCTACCAGTTGTGGTCTATTAAGAAAATCAGGAGGAATTTCTTGACGACACATGGGACATCTTTTGCTTTGATTCGCAACACCTTTGACACAGAGGTAACAATATATATGATTGCAAGGTAATCTTGCAGGATATATACATGGTTGAAGGCAGACTGCACATTCTAGGACTGTTGTTGAACCTAAAAAAATTCATTTGTAAATAATGTTATAATAACAAAGACACTTGTTTGAGTAATATATGTGACATTTTCCAATTACGTATAACCGAAATATAATTACTTTAAATCGAACGAAATATTTTTAATGTATTATTATGAAATTAATCAATAATAGCTTATACATGTTAACAGAAGTGATAATGGGTTCAATATTTTCGAAACTATTTCAAGACTATACCTTCTTTTTCGTCAGCTTCCTTCTCTTTATCGTTAAGTGTGCTACTTGTTTCTTCCTGTGAGTGAAGTTTCGCTTGAGCCATAATTGCAAACAAATCTAATTCTTCATTAAAAGAAATGAAAAACCTTGTGAATAGTAACACACATCATGTCAACGTTAAAAGAATTAACAGATAACGAGTCTACCTTAAGCCATCTTCGTTGTTTATGACAGGTCAGTGGTTCTGAATTATAAAAACAAGTGAATGAATGTTTGAGAACCCCTTACATCCACTGCTTACTTCGCATTACGAAATTCATACATACGTAGATTGTAGCATTGTTGTAGCACATAAGGATTAATTTAAATATTAAACTTTTAGTATTTAAAAAGTAGCAAGACACATTGATTTGCTGATGTTTCATATGCCTGTTTATGTCACGTGAGAGGAGGTCTAATAAAATTATTTGCCATTTCTAATCTATATCTCAATTTTGAAATTATCGAACATATAATTGTGTAATTTATGATGTAATTGTAACTATATTTGGTGAAGTTGTAGGAGTGCTACTTCCTCTCTGATTTTGATAATTTTTGAATATGTTCAAAAGTGCAACATTTTGAATAACTTGTTCCTATACATATAACTGGCGGTTAGCTTCAGTTTCTAAGATAGTCGCAAAAAAATTTCCACTTCAGTGTATTTTCGTTTATAGTTGTGCGTTTTGGTGACAACGTATACGTCAGAAGAATAATTTTAAATTTCTTAGTGTTTAACATTTTTTAAATATCATTTGTTATGTTTAGTAAACTTTTTAATTCATGTTTAATTATTGGTAAATGTACAGATCAAACCTAACCTTTCCGATATTGATGACTTTTTAATATGTGATGAAGGTAAACAAAAAACTATCGGTATCATACAGTACCTGTACTTGTACATGTATAAATATATCTATATTGGTAGAAAAAATATTGATTTTTTTTAAAACAAATCTATTTGTATTTATTATTGTTTCTAGCTGACATATGAGTAATGAATGTGGTAAATAAGGAACAATATTGATCATGCTGTAATATACAGCATGCAAATAAGTATATTTGATTTTTATTGAATGACGGATTTAAAATAACAATTATGTGTCTAAAACCAATCTCAATATAAATATACATCTATATACAAAACGTATGGCTTAGGTCTTAAATAAAATTATTGTACAATATACAATTTCAAGTTTGTGTGTTAGACGCCATAAAATACTGTTAATTATTATTCAAGGAATAGTTATATACTATATCTAGTAGATTAATTAATTTATATATAAATCATTACCAATCTTGATTTTACGGAACATTTGGCAGTTTCTTAGTTCTCGTAAACCATAAGGGTACAAAATATAATAACCCTATTACCTCATTTTTAAAATTATGTACATTATTATCAATTTATTTTCGGGAAAATTAAGTGTCTTTATAAAAATACATAGAAATAAAAGCTCGATTCGTACTGCAGTATTTGATGTAATCTGATAAAAAGTACCCAATACTACACCGGTCAGTATCACAGCTACTCTCTGCTCTTTTAGCTTCAATGCAAATGTTAAATAGTCCTACGCGTGGGCAATTACTCATTCGGTATACATGTAGTTGCGGTATCCGGGAGAAGGGAAAAACAGAACAATTTGTGACGTTATATAATGTTGTACAACGTGTTGGCTACAGCGACGTAGGAAACTTAAGTTTCTGCAACGTACTGTAACCGAACGCAAAATAGTCTGCGCACGGCAAGAGTTAGATTTTCATATTACTCATTGATACATACCACCAATGAGCAGAGGAAATCTTTTGGTCCAACACATATATTCTCCTTGATAAATCACTGCTAATTCATCTGGAGATCATACGTCATTTTAATCGATTGCACGAACTTATTCGTGCGTGTTTAGTGAATCACAATCACCTTTAAATAATACCTGTAAATTTAGATTCTACTTTTATATTTAATTGTGTCGTTTCTTCATCAATTTCTCGCGACACCGCATATCATGATATTTGGCAGCGCTCCACGACGTTTACGCCATGCACCAAGAGATTGTGCGTGTGTTTGTAACGTCCTACACCACCTCTTTGTTCTGGCGCCATCTTCGGCCTGCAATATAATATTTGTTGTAAATGAAACAACGATTATTGAGAAAATATAATATATAAAAATTCTATCTTTATCTTTTATAAATAATAAAATACAATAGCGAAACTCGATTTCATTAAATATGTTAGTTTTACAGACATTAGAATAAAAATTATGTAAATTTTTGTAATGTAAAACATAGTGTAAATTACATTATAATATCGCATCGTATTTTATGTAATAAAAGTTTTACCTTAAATATAAAAGTTTCCTTTGATGATAATTCTTGAATTTCGAAATAATCTTCAAGGTCTGTTTCACAACATACTATACACTTATCCAGATACAACGGTTCCTAAAATAAATGAAATTTCACATAATAAGAAAGAGCTCAATTGCGTACATCTGATTTAAAGTCGTGAAAATAACTTACGCGCAATAATGAATAACGTCCAAGTTTTTCTTTAACTAGCAATAACGTAGCTTCCTTGATACCAATGTGTCTTGGAAAGAGAGAATCGTCGTTAAATTCAAGGTCCTCTGCATTTGGCTGTAGAAAAATTTGTATAATGTGTGAACAAGCGTCAATTATAAATATAGAATATCGTTAAATATAATTGTAAACGGCATGATTTATACCTTGCCATTAGTAACCAACATGGCAGTTACAGGAGCAAGCTTGACAGTACGCCCGCGTCTCCAATTGTTATCTGTTGGCTGAGCAACTAAAAGACGTCCTTCTAATACAAATTTTGCTTCTTCATGAGCCCATTCTAATACTTCTACGGCCATCTATTATTTATTTGTTGTATTAATTTACATTTAACTCAAATATATTTAAATTTAATTATACAATTAAATAATGCATTCGTATATTTTAAAATAAATTATTTCTACATTACCTTCCTTAATTTTATATTCACCATATCCTGTTCACCAATAGGTCGTCTACCATTCTGAATAATTGAAATTCTTCTCCAAAGCTTTGTCGAAGTTACATCCTTTGCTTCCTGTTATTACATTATTAAATTTGTCCATTGTGCATGTAATATTTACATATTTACATTAAAATATTGATATTAATTTTATTCGAAATTTATAATACAGATTAATGATATACTTACAGCATTCATATGTTCTAAATGTAACTCTATGGTAGCCTGAGCTTGTTTTAGACTTTCTTTTGCTTCTTGTATGTCTGGTCGTACAGAAGGTGTAGCTTTCAGTAATCGAGCCAACAGGAGAGGATATTTTGTTACTCTTTGAACGGGAACCTAGAAGAAAAGAATTATTTTTTATATAAAGTCTTGCATTTGAAAAGATGTCATAACTCCGCTTTTCCCTTACCATTAGGAAGGAATTCAAATTCATTCTACGTAAAACAGTGTTTTCCATTTGTGAAACCTTTAGAAAAATTCGCAGTAGTTCTTTTTCCTTCTCTAAATTCTGTAATAATAAGCTTGCGCTTCCTTGACGGGTACAATAGCTTTCAAATGCATGTAACATCCGCTCAGATTCCAGGAAGATTTTTCCTACATCTACTGTTAGAAGATCTTCATCCCCGGATTCCTATAAATTATTTAGAAATTATTATCCTTATTTGTATACAAGCTTATTTCTTAAAATCAATCAGAATGTTAGATTAAAACGTTCATCCATCGATAATAAAATGAAAAATCTATTTGATACGCTTCTATTCAAATGTGCATTATTTTTATTTATAAAATTATTTGTTGCAGAAATATCACAGGGGAAATTTAAATTAAATTACTTTAAAAAATTATTTTCAACTTCATTCAGTATACAGTATGGTCACAATAATGTGTAATACATGTAACAAGAGTTGATGAACGTACAAGTAATAGAAATGGTATTGAAGATTGCTATCTATTTACCTGAGCAAATTCCACGGCATCTTTTAATTTTTCTGCGAGTACAAGGTTGTGTTCGAGAAGTTCTTCTACGTTGAGGAAAATCGCTGCAAGCTGCTCGGATGTGAGAAGCCCAGCCCTTAGCATAGGTCTGTGAAATTCTTCGAGAATAATTTGTAGATCTCTTCCGTACTTTTGTTCAGTCTCTACAATCTCTGTAATGATTTCTTTGCGCTCTATTCTCTTTTTAGAGCATTTTCTACACACGAAAGGGGCGTACACTACACCACTAAACAAACATAATAACAGTTATTAAAATCCTTACTACATTAAAAATTAAATTACAAATTCATATAATTAAAAGTAGTAGTAGTAGTAGTAGTAGTAGTAGTAGTAGTAGTAGTAGTAGTAGTAGTAGTAGTAGTAGTAGTAGTAGTAGTAGTAGTAGTAGTAGTAGTAGTAGTAGTAGTAGTAGTAGTAGTAGTAGTAGTAGTAGTAGTAGTAGTAGTAGTAGTAGTAGTAGTAGTAGTAGTAGTAGTAGTAGTAGTAGTAGTAGTAGTAGTAGTAGTAGTAGTAGTAGTAGTAGTAGTAGTAGTAGTAGTAGTAGTAGTAGTAGTAGTAGTAGTAGTAGTAGTAGTAGTAGTAGTAGTAGTAGTAGTAGTAGTAGTAGTAGTAGTAGTAGTAGTAGTAGTAGTAGTAGTAGTAGTAGTAGTAGTAGTAGTAGTAGTAGTAGTAGTAGTAGTAGTAGTAGTAGTAGTAGTAGTAGTAGTAGTAGTAGTAGTAGTAGTAGTAGTAGTAGTAGTAGTAGTAGTAGTAGTAGTAGTAGTAGTAGTAGTAGTAGTAGTAGTAGTAGTAGTAGTAGTAGTAGTAGTAGTAGTAGTAGTAGTAGTAGTAGTATTTATTACTTAATAATAATAGTACTTTAACAAAATATTAACAGATATATTTTTACAAATTAGGAAAGATTGTAATACTAAAACATTGAAAATATATGTATATATTCATACGATTACTTCATATTCTAACAGAATACAAATTGTATTTATTTCCTCTCAGGTATTCTTTTGTTAATTTGTACACAAATATTATATCATCACTTACCTGTCTGTTATTAAAGGATCCAAACGTTGTTCGCAGTCCTCGCAGTGCTTTGAATCACCGGAAATCACTTGTGGGATTCCACTGAGGAGACTTCCTGGTCCCGAAGAGACATTTCCTGCCCTCCAACGTCTTGGCACGCCCCGAGTGCTGCTGGCTTGACTGCTTTCTGATCCCACTCCGCTATCAGTTCTTTCTATATCTACGGCTCTTACCTTTAAAAATTGTAATTCACATCACGACTTTTATCTGAACTATCATTACATGTATTACACGCGATGTTATCTTATTTACGTGTGTGTAGTAAACTTTTAATTGGAGAAACAATAAATAGACGATTATCGCGAGAAAAATACAAGTTGGTTTATATTAACGCAAAAGTATGGCATCAAGAATATATTGATTTCTGATTTCGAAGCATTATAATGTAATATTATACAAGAAAAAACAAATAGAAAAAAAAATATAAAACTCTGATGAAAACATACTTTTGATGTTTCCGATGAGCTGGTCAATATAATATTGCATTCCTCACTGCTATCGGAAACGTTGGATATCTGTGAACTCTTCGAACTAAGATCGCCGAGGCTGGTCTCTTTTTGCTCATACAGCGCTTCAAGATCTCCCTCCGTATCTTCTTCGTCTTCATCGTCGTCGTCATCTTCCTCTTCGATGGATGTTGCTTGATCCTTCGAGTCCATAAGGTAATTAAGCAATTCGAATTTACTTGAGATATTCTCTTCTTCTGGCGACGTAGACATTTTCTTGAAGAAGTCCTCGGGACTCTTCGACAAATACGTTTCAGCAACATCCTCGGATTTTTTGAAAACATTGTCCGTCAAGTAGGATCCAAGGAACTGATCCGAATTACTTTTTCTATAGTAATCGATGTCACCGAAATATATTCTGTCTTTTATGTAATCCTCCGTGGGTGGCGGACTCAGTGGCAGAGGCGGAGGTTCGTCGGGAATCTCCTCGTAAATGGGCTCCTTGATTACCTCATAGGGATTCTCCTCAAGGAAGAGATTCGTTGAAATGAAATCGCCATCCGAATTTAAGCTGGATGTTCTCGAGTAATTCGCCTCGAGAGTCGACTCGGAACTCTCGTACTCCTTGCTCTTCAGCAAACTTTGCTTCAGTATTTTCAAAATAGCTTCGCCGCTGTCTTCGTCGAGGATCTCTCCATTTTTTCTTGCCTTCCTTAGGGAATCCTCGAGCAGTTTCGAGATCAGTGCCTCTTTCGACAGTCCCAAAAGTTTCGACGAATTTTCCGCATCTTTTTGCTGTGTTGTTTGTTCCGTTCGTGTCGCTCGTTCGTTCGTTATGTAAAACTTACCACTCTTCTCCGTGGTAGAAGTTTTACTTTCGATATTTGATCTCATTTGCTTCTCAGAGTCCCTTGACGTTTCTAGGACGCTTGACGCTATTCTATTCTCGGACGAGGTTTCGTTGTTTCTTCGAGAATATTCGGTCTGTTCGATAGATTCCGATTCAGTGGCATTTAACGGTTTTGATTTTATATCTTCTTTGTCGTTTTCTTTGACAGATTCGACCACGATGTTTGACTTGTAGTTGTCTAAGATCACAAGCGTTCGATTTTCGCTAGAACTCTTTATTCGTGGCAAATTTTCCGAGTTTACCGAGATCACCGTGGGATTGTAAACGCTGTCTTCTCCACCGACGCTGATGGTCACTTTGTTGTCCGGCGATGTTTCAGCGGTAGGGGTTGTGTCACCGTTGATTAAAATCGACGTTCTTCTCGACCCATTAGTACCTGGGCCTATCTGCAATCGATGTATAAGAGGCGAAGCTCGGGGACTGACTGTAATTTTATACACGTTGTTTTCCATGGTCGGTGATCCGATCTCGATTTTCGACGATCCGTACGAATTCGATGTGCTCCAGGTGGTCTTCAACAGTGGACTGCTTCGTTCTGATTCGGTATTATTCACGATTTTCAGTTTCGCATCAGAATCGCTGATTTTGTAACGATGTTTCTGTTTTCCAGGCGGAGGAGACCAACTTGTTGGCCTCATTCCTCGGAAATGATCGCCGTTCCCATCAAAATTCCTTTGAATTTCTATCGAAGGTTCCATCTCTGGCTTAATTATACTTTCAGTAGGAACTTCTTCGATTTCTTTTGCGTTTGATAATTCCGATTGACATTCTATTTTAATCGAATCAGTCTCTTCCTTCAAGTCCGAATCTTTTATCGTCGTTGTCGTAGATTCGATTGAATCTTTATGTCGAATCGTTTGCTCGTTTGAACCTGGCGACGATTCTTTCACTCTTCTACACAGGCTGAGGCGCATGGTATCCATAAAAAGCACATCGCCAGCTGATACCTCTGGTCTGTTAAACGATCGTTCGCTTTGGCTGCGTGATAAAGATGATTTTTTGGAGTTTTCTGTAAATTAGTGACAAGTATTATTAGATCTGCCACTAAAACGTATAAGACACGAAGCAATCGTAAAATTTGTCTGGTATATTTTGTTGAAATTGTTATCGAAGTATTTACATATTTACGATACAGAATCTAGCGTGAAATTATATATATAAAAGAACAAAATGCGTATCGTTAGGAGGACAGCAAGCTTGTTCTTGATAATAATTTAAATCATGGAAAATGAACAGATTTATCTTTTGGTAAACAAATACGGCTGTATTGCGAGGTATAATCACATGCAAGTGTGAAGTCGTGAATAGTTATGAAAAGAAGAGAAAACGCGTGAGATCTCTAAAATGCATAATTACACGCTCGCGATACCCAGAGAAAGGAGAATTATTCCGTAAATTGTCTGAAGATTTATGACTATAAGTCGGGGAAATTCTTTAAGAAATTATTATTGTTAACGGATATCATGCTGCGAATTATTTTCAATAATCGAATATTATTTCAGAAAGTGTCCACAATGGCAAATAATAGAAATCCATAACTTGCAGATAGGATTACAAATATCTTTAATTTTCGTTTTAATTCGCGTTTACATTTTATTCTATCTAAATAGTATTTTCATTTTATTTGCCCTCTTATCGAATATGATATTTTAGAAGATAAACATTAAAGAAACGAGGATTACGACTAAGACGATATTTTATACTAAACATTGTTTTGCAAGGAAACGACTAAAACGATAAATCAGTGAAACTATAGAGGAAGGGAATAATTGGTGTTTGTGCGAAAAGAAGCGATTCTGGAAGCTTCCAATTGAGAAAACGAAGGCCATTTGAACATACGATGACTAATGGACATGTAATAATGTACATTTTGTAAACTAAGAATTCTCATGTACTCTGCTGGTGACACGATAAACACTGATATCTATAAAATAAATCTAGATATTGCGTTGCACGTAAGATAGGCAACCTTGATTCTAGCCTGACATCGATTCGATCTAAACCGTACGTTTATTACGTATGACCATTTAGTTAAGATTAAATATTACATCTATAGGAAAATTTCATCTTTTTTCTTCTTTCCAGGCTTGTGTTACGATATGTTAATTGTTTTCTTTAAGCGGTATATTTATCTTTTTCACGGTGTAATGATCGTCGTTATGGTCCATATTTTTCATCTAATTTATTTTTCTTATGCACAAAACCGTGATAAAAATAACTAGGAAAAACGGCAGAATTTTTCGCAAGATCTAATGAAAAAGGTACATTCAATGAACATAATACAAAGAATAATCGAAATTCTTACCCTCAGACTTCAATATCAGGTCCTTTTCGTCTACGGCGATGCTTGGAATACGATCCTTGCATTCCTCGATCTTGATCTGCGATTCGGTGTCTTTCTTCATTCTGATCTCGTTCGTCTCCTCTATCCTTTTCCTTTCTTCGTTCTCTTCCTTCGCGTTCTCGCGTCTCGACGAGTGAACAGTTTGATCAGTGAAGTTTCGTGGAACGATATCTTCGCTCCGCCGTTGTACCTCGACGTTCTCTTTTTTCTTCGAGGCAACACGTTCCGCATCGCAAGAGGATACGAACTTATCTACCTTAATTCCTTCAACAGGGTTAATAGGATTTTGGCACACATGCTGCGAGATTCTAGGTTCCTTCGGTCGAACTCTATCCACCTTTGGATCCTTGATATTCGGAATGGTGATGAAATTATACTTTTCTCTCTGCTCGTGCGATGATACAGTTACTGGCTCCTCCTCTTCTTCTTCTTCTTCCTCTTCCTCTTCCTCTTCCTCACCCTCCTCCGACTCGTCATTATTCGGTTGCTCCCTGGGTGAGCCGCAGCTCGCGATCCTGCCGATTCTGCTCCAGGATAGTCGCGTTACTTCGGACGGTTTTTCGGGCGCGAATATAACATTGTCGACGTTGAACAGCACGTTCTTCCTACGTGTCTCGAGCACCTTCCCCCGCTTCAGAATACTCTTCAGCGTTTGTTTGGCTTCCTTCAACCTTCTCGGTGGTCGCTTCGGTGAAACCTTTGGTATGGGAATCCTCGTGACCGGTGCAACTTCCTCGTCGTCTGAGATTTCTCGTGGCTCGTTGAACACCCTTATTCTCTGGCCACCGATCGCGGCGACCGCGCTTCTGTTCGGTATCCTCTCGATCGATTTCACTTTCGAGGGATCGAACAGGCTGGAAAGCGGCCTCGCGTCATCCTGCTCGAGGGCGTTGTCCGACAGGTCGTCGCTCAGATCGTCCTCGTCCTTTTGTTTCTTCAACAACAAATAGGGATTTACGTCGCACACGAGGATGCTCTTTCTTGAATCACAGGCGCTCGACGGCCTCTCTTTCCAGTCATCTTGATGGTTGCTTTTCGTCTGACTGGTTTCCGGTGTTTTCACCACAGAGCAATCCGACCAATCGTTCTTCGCGCTTTTCACCTTTTTCGGAATTCGAAGCAGCCTGACAGCGGTCGTCGAGATCGATTGATTTCGCGAATCCGCCAGCAGTGGCGATTCCTCGAGCCATTCGTCCGTGGACACGCCAATGAAGTTCGCACGTTGCTTGCGTCCTGTGTCCTCGTAGCTCGCGCTCGCCTCTTTGTCGAACCATTCGGATTTCGAGGAAGTACCTTCGATCGAGCCCTTTCGCTCTTTCGTGTTCCGCGCCATACTTTGGCTCCGAGAATCGCGTTGAGACAACGGTCGGTGCGGCGAAATACTGCGTGCCCGCGTCCTCGGCTCCACTAGTCGATTCCGACGCATCAGGTCGTACGGATCGTCTATCGATGACCTCAGCACTCCTGCCGATTTTCAATTGCGTTCACTAACGATAAACGTGAGATATCGGAACGGTCTTGCGTTTGTAATTTGTGGAATTTTAACGTGTGATATTTAATCGCGATGGAAATTCTTTGAATGTAGTAAATGAATAGTTTTAAACGTAGTCGTGTGAGATATTTTGCTTTTCTTCCTCTTTTTTTTTTACACGATATAATAATGGGAGAATGACAGAAAGAAGGAACATTACTAAATCTCTATTATAATTAAATATATCTATAAAAAAAAAATGAAAAAAATACCTACAGATAAATATACAAATTTAACTAAATTGTGTAACTTCGTGTCGTTGCACGAAGTAAAGGTACACTTTGAATCGTTCGGATCTTCGCTCAAGTATGTCACGCGAGAAATTTCATTAACAAACTTAGCAACTCACTAATGCAGCCACTTACCACGCATTAGCAAACGTTAACCGATCTAAGCGGCGCGTGTAGGTACGCGTTAATTACAAAACGTATCTCTCCCTTTAGCTGCTCACGTTTCCTTCGTGGCATGAGCAAAACACGAAAGATAAAGAACAATCGGTAATCGATACTGTAACCGCTAAATTCTTCGTCGATAGAGAGACTTACCGGCGAGGCTGGGCCTCGACCTCGAGGAAACCGGTGGTAGCCGACATGTTCCTCCTAAAGGTACACCAGCCAATCGGTGACCACCGCACTTGCGGCAATTGCCGAATTTCCGGGTGGTTCCACTGAGAAATTCCGGACAGGAACATACTACCAATACTGGTGCTCCCGGTGGCGGCGGAGGCGGTGGTGTCATGAAGCCTCGTGGCTCGTGTCCAGGTCTCGAAGACCGAACCGTACCATAGAGCCATGGATCCCCGTAGATCATTTGACGCGATATTCCGCTGCCGCCGCTTATCGTTCCCCACACTTTGCCAGGATCATCGGTGCTTTGATTCTGTCGCGACAGACCCAGTCTCACACTCCACGATTTCTTCCCTTTGCTCAGCGTGTCGTAATTCTGAAACGAATTGATAGTCGTAGATCGTTAGTTGGAAGTTAGCATTTAGAGGCTTTTTAACTGTACGAATTTTCTTGCGTTTGAATTTGAGTGAAAATACGATTGTAAGTGGGAGCAGGCTTGGGAAAATTTTGTATGAAATATAGAAAGAAATATATGTTTAATAAGAGAAATGCGTAAAGGGAAATTGTTCGTAGTATCGATGTCTAACATTACTAGCGTCTAAAGCTGTAATAAATTCTTGGAGCGATTATTGTTTTCTCTTCCGTAGTTGCGGTAAAAGTGATTGATGCGCCTTAAAGTATAATGTAACTTGCATTTTCTATGGAATTCCGTGATATTAAAGTAACGGTGATTATCTGAGAATTTTGTTAAAATTATTAAAGCTATGTAATTATTTAACATCAATATCCATTTGTTACATATAGGTACTTATTTTATAAGATAGATACGCATTTCTTATGTCTATATGACAGTTTTTATCGTATAATTTAATTTTTTTTTTCAAATTTCTGCATTTTGGCACTCGATAGATTTAAACGTCCTATATTTGCACCGTGATAGAATGTTAAACTACTTGTCCATAAATTAACTTTTAACGGACTTAATTCTTCGATCGCCAGTCAATTTGTATCTATCCATCGACTTTTCCTTCAGGGCAAAGCAGCAAAGCTTCGACTGTGAGTGTAATATTAGATGCGTTATTACATCACAGGTGACAATGTGTTAGTAATCAGCATAATGTTACTGCAATATCAGCGTTCACAAACGACGTACCATATGTATAGTATTCGAATGGACGTCTCGGGATACAAAAAAAAATATAGTTTGCTTAGATATTAACATATACATATGTGGATTAAGCAATACAGTTGCGACAGCGTATACCCGTTTCTCTGGTTCAAAGAAGTAGCAAATACTTTTTGTGTAAATATTTTTTTAAAAGAAAATGCATTGGAAATGTACGTACGAATTACTTTAAATGTTCTATTAAAATATTTTTATCACCGTGCCTTTAGTAATTAAATGGCCTTTAATAATTAATAATTAAATGGCATTATAGATAATGACAGGATACATTATTATAATTGCAATTAAAAATTTTATCAGAATAATTTCGCAAACATGTTCGGCAAATAGATCTGTACGTTTTTAAATACGCGCATTTTCTAGCTGTTAGGTCATTTTTCATTCATCTGCATGGAAATGAATTTTCTAGTACGCATCGTCTTATTTGGCGGTGTCGTTAATATTCGATGCATGTGATTATTGCGAATAATTGCTGTTCTTATTATTATCATTCGAAAGGGAAGATATGTACGTGAAAGCTTTCGTTTTCAACAGGATATCCGGACTTAGTAAACGGAATTTTTAATGGCTTGCGTTACACTGCAACTCCAAATATTAACTTTCAATTTTATATCTATACAAGGCTCTCGGAAACTTTCGATCCTGTTGTCAAAAAGGAGAGCATCGATTGAAAGTGAAAAGTGACTACCTTTCATTTAATAAGTAAACTATACAATAGTATAGAATCGCGTTTCGTTTGTACCAAAGGCACGAAGATTTTTAAAAATATAGCTGTAACGGCACATGAGATAGAGTACAATTCAAATCGTGTTGTTGTTTTGCGTCGGAGTATCAACATCGTTAGGATATACATAATGTAATAATAAATAAACTCCGAGCAAAACAATGTCGCTGCTACGAGCAACCGTCAAACGAAGACGAATTTGATTTGAATCAATATCGGTTTTATCAGTTAGTCTCGATCGATCTTATTAGCGGATTATACACTGTCCTTGGCGAATCCGTTAGTAGGGGCGTGTTAGCGAACATTATCTGTATTTATTTATTTATTATTTTAAAATATATTTGACGGTTTCAATATCTCGTACTCTTGTCATTTAAACCACACCAAACAACCATCCTCTACATAGCTGTGACATTTTTAAAAATATACGAAAAATATAGAAATGATTTTTTGTAGTGAATCATCGACCATGAGCTCAGACATGGTATGCTGGTGGAGGTCACAGCTCGTTTTAGGCTGGTACTGTGAGTTTCGAAACAAAAAGAGAGAGACAGAAAAAGAGAAAAAAAGCGGAGAAATGTCGCGGGTGGACAAAGGCGACCAACAAATTAAACATCTTTTCTTCTATAGAAAAGAAAAATATCGACCGTATGCAGGTTCGTAAAAAATTTTATTTATAGGAAACTATAAAGAAATCGACGAAAGAAACTGAAAAATATTTGGACTGGTCTTCGCCTGGTTTTTCTGGTTTTCATGCTGTGCTACTACTTTGATACTTGCTTCTTTGAAAGAGCACCTTTTAAAAGTAACAGGAAATCTATCGTGAAATGGTATGCATTCGCTAACAGGTTCTACTCGATGGAAAAATTTCATCCGTGGGGGACGAAAATACGCTTTCGATCGGATTCGGACTCCACGTCAATGCTAATTCTCCTATTCGCTTCGTTCTATTTTTCAATTTGCAGAGTGATAATAGCTGCGGGCATTATTTCGAAAAGAACGACTTCGGAATGAAGCATACGTCTTAAGCATACGTGCGACATCACACAAGGCGTAATTAACAGGAGAGTTACTTGGAAAGCGAAAGCTTGGTTCAAACCAGGAAACTCACGAAGCAATGGTCTCTCGACCATTGTTTCTAGGAAGGGAAAAAATACTAAGGTGGGATTTGCGTGCACGTCGTGCGTGCTCGAAGGTTAGACACGATCTACGATCTTTCAAGAAAATATGTGAAATTACGCGCGCATCCTGCTTTCCATTGACAGTCACAGAAAATGAATGGATAAATTGACAAGTGAGTGTATATTTAATTTTGAAGTTTGTCGATTGAAAATCGGAATGAAATAATGGTCAAAACGTTTTGGTATTATCTGCACCGCTTTCTTTCGTATTAGCTATCTTTTTTGGTCAGATGCTGAATTTACGTCAGCACGTGAAATCGAAGTATACCTATCACAGGTAAAAACAGTCGGAGGAAATTGTGATATTTTCATATTTATTTCTTATGTTACGTTTTAAGCATTTGGTCCGTTAAAATAAGATAAATCAGACTTGGACATATATTACTGTTATTTGTACGGACTTATATATAGTGTCACTTAACATTCATGAATAATATTCTCTTTTATTGGCCGGAAGTTTATTAGTAGGTTTTGTAGTAATTTAAACTGGTCTTTAATGGGACAAGAAGGTACCATTTCGATTTTCTTGTCTTGCGATTAGAACGAACAAAATGATTAACAAATAATAGACAAATTATAGTTGTGGACATAGTAAAATATGTTATATTATGCTATATTATTATCTTATGTATTAATTTCTATCATTGATTGATTCCTTTCTAAATATATTTACTTCCTATGAATTTTATATAGAAACTTTCTGAAACGTTGTATAGTATGTATTTATTCGTACTTAATTCTCTTCAGTTAGCGTATATTATTATATTCTTATATAGATTCGTAGAACTCGTAAGAGTTAATAGTTCAATTAACAATTCTCATTTGCAGTTACGTTTTATAGGGGCTGCATGTTACATATTACGCTTTTCTAAATCTTATTACATTAATTAGAGTAACAGGAAGGGGACTTTTATGTTCTTGGAAGAGGAAAATTGTGACAACTTCAAGACTCCTTAATAACCAGCTGGTGTAATTTGTCTTAGGTTGTCAATGTAGGTGCTCACAGCTGTCGTTCGGACAGCCTCGTACGAAGCTGTAAAACATTTCCTCGCCAACGAAGTAAAACACCTTTAGTCGACTATATACGTGTATCTCCTATTGAAGCCATGTAAGTCGAAACAAAATTAATCTTACATATTAGTTTTATAGTATCTGTGTCATTACATTAGCATAGAAATCTGCTTCATATATCTAGCATTGCATATAATTATTACAGATGAAGGATATATGGTTATGGAATTCTGCGAAAGAAAAACAAAAAGTCAAATATTTCAAAGCGAATTAGCTCCGAATAACAGATCGGAGATTCATCTTGTACTAACATATCCGTACGAAGATAATTAGTACAGAAGTTACTTGCGAAACGAGAGCTTAATTGACGCTATCGATAATTGTCCCTGTTACATGTTAATCCATCTTTCGTACAGATCTTTGCGCGTGAACTATATACAAAGCAGAGGCCATGTGTTTCTGGCACCTCTCGTTCCTTTTTCCTTCAAACCTTCATATAATTTTCCTTTGTTTCGTACCAGTTAGATTTTACAAATGGACCCTGTATCTGTGACATTATTACGTATCATCGATAAAATAATCCAAGATCGTACATTGCAGCCAACTTCCAGGTAAAATGTACGATTTATTACACGTACTCAATACTCAAATCCTACGCATCACCTAATTCCAAAGGGAAGGTCTTGCGGTTTCCTAGCCGTTTTCGCTGTTCCCGTATTCGCGGCATTACACTGGAACCATTGGCGAACATGAGAAACGTTAAATAATGGTAATGAACGATCATAGTAAATTGCTTCCTTGGTGCTTCGTGAATCGAGGAGGGCTGATTCCCAGATCTATCGAAGAATAACGTAGGAAATCGGCAACTTCCTCTCCATTACGCTGCGTTCGGCCGTCTCGGGAAAAGGGACGCGCGCCATGGAAAAGGAGGTTATTTGCATTTCACAGGCGGATACTGCCGGTGATACGGACATTGTACGACATGGCACACGAGGTCGGAAAATGGGGCAGATAGCTCGCCCGAAGGCAAACTCGATACGCTTTACTTTCTCGCGTCGATGCTCGAGACTTTCGTAAAAGTCTTGTTCCACAGGCTCACGTAAGAGGAGCGGTCCGTACGTTCGATCGGCGGCTCGCTCGGAAAACAACAAGAACGCTATACGTACGTGCAGGGCCACCATAAGTGTGCACATAGCGCGAACGGTGTTTCAACGATCATAGAAAACGAGGTGATATCTCACAGGTGCAATGGGAGAACGGGTGTGGCCGACAAA